TTCGATTACTGTCGTGGACCACTTCTAACACAAGCATTTTAAGCTTACCAGAAGTGGTTAAAGGGAATATTAGTAATGTATAATAACATTACTAGTATTTAAAAAAAAGAAAAAAATTATACATATGACGTATATATATCAATGTACAGGTATTAATTATAACTAAACCATTTTAATTCCGGATTGTTATGGTAGACGTAACGATAAGAGAATATGTGATGTTCCCCATCATTAGTTTTGTTGTTTTAATGTTGCGTAAAGTGAGAGCTTGTTTAAGAAATTCAATGTTATGATTATGACCTGTAATTTGATCTATGTGGATTACATGTTTTAGAAATAAAGCACTGGAAACCTAAAATTTACAAAAGCTAGCCTCTGGTTTATTCGAATACGTAACTCATAGTTATTATATAGTATAGACCATAGATTTACTGAAAGAAAAAAAGCATTTTGAGATATTGTAATAAAGGCATTATCATCAACTACTAATGAAAAAATAAATATTCTGTTTATTTTATTTATTTAGAGATAGAAACAGAATAACTTCAAAATGAACTAATTGCACTTAGGTGTGCAAAATTTGCGATGGTATTCCATAACATGTGCACACATGATTACAATATATTAGGTAACTGTCTGGAAGTACATATAATGTAAATAATTGTCATACAAAAAATGTAGCGTCTGGCTGATGCCAGAAATATCATCTCAAATGTGCTAAATCAATGTATGCACGTATGCACACTATGAATAATATTTTATTAGGCGATTATTGCGAGAGGAAGGGATGAGGATCGCAATTGCTATTACAATTATTTTACACCATTGTGATGTTCCTAATATACTAAATTAATTTCGTACTTGTTTTCTATATTATGTTGTTACGATCACAGTGTTTACCGCCGAGAACTTAGCAAATCAACATTCGGCACTATTAACTTTAACGGTGCCGGCGTCTGTTCGCTTCCGTGCTACGATAATAATTTATTTAGCAATCCCCATGAGCAACGCCGGCTGTAACATTTATAATGTATATTGCTCTTGGGCTTTACTGTTGATTTGACTCACGCTACCCGTTCTCATTAAATTCGATACATTATTTTTATACCGCACTAATACGAGAAGAAAGCATATTAATATGAGAGGGAACATCTATACATCTATACAAATAAATAAAATTGAAGTGTCTGTTTGTAATGTCAAAATAACAGCTTTTTAACTAAATGCATATGAAAGTGTATACGGTACTAATAACAAAAACATATTTTTTTAAATTTTTGTCTGGCTGTCGGTCTGTCTGTCTGTCTGTTTGTTCCGGCTAATCACCGAAACGGCTGGACCGATTTCAACGGGACTTTCACTGGCAGATAGCTGATGTTATAAGGAGTAACTTAGGCTACTTATATTTTAGAAAAAGTATTAGGGTTCCGCGCAACATAATTAAACCCCTAAATTACACGCGGGCGAAGTCGCGGTGAACAGCTAGTTAATGAATAAAACTGATACTTTATTTAAGTTTTGCTATATTTATTTCATTATTAAGTCTACTATTTATTTTTCCTTCGTTTTTACATTTTATATTTAAACTTTCTTTTATTATTCAGCGCTTTTTTTTGTTTTTATTTGTTTTCTTAGAGCGTTTTCCTAGTTTTTGTAGAGCGATCAATGAAGCGACAATAGTTACCATAACATTTGCAATAAACGTACGGGCGGCTTTGTGTGTGTTTCGGTACGTCTATGTATAGAATATAGTAAGTATATTGAATGGACGGCGGCGCGAAGTCTGACGGGCCGAGGGCGCAGGACCGCCGGCACCATTGAGCGGCGCGGGTGACGTCACCCCCACTTAGGGCCGCCATATTTGACCCTGGTTGTGATCGGACAAAAGGAAAACTAAAGAGCAAAGTAGGTACGGTTTTATACGTGGTAGAGCCATGCTGCAGCTATATTAATAGTATTATAATAGTTGTAAGCACGAATGGGTCGGCTCGATCGGGGAAGGGCCACGCTCTCACAGAATACCAGCGTAAAATAGGAGCTTCATGCTGCTGTGTTTAGTATGGTGAGTGTAGAGAACCGGAGACCCTTTTTACTGGAAACGAGGCATTCCATTTTAATCCTCACGGCTGACAACGCATCTGCATTTTAATTTGTAAACGAAAATAGATGTAGATGTCTATGGGCCACAGCAACCACTTACCATCAGGTGGATTGTCTGTTCGTTTGTCATCCTTATTCTATATAAAAAAAAGGTAATTGCGTATGTGACCCCGCGTCGTTTAAGGGCTGCTCCGCGGTCTTAGAAAAAAACATGTTTGTTTAAAGAGAAAAGAAAACAGAATTTTTAATTAAAACTTATGTAAAAAAGTAAATCCTTACGTTGCACTTGGTGCAAGCACAAGTCGCCTCTCATTTCTGAAAGGTTCTTATATTTTGGTTTAAGATTTCTGTGCTCTTCGTTCTTCCTATATAGGTAAGTTTATATGAGTAAGTTTGACTGTTGCGTATTAATTATTTTTATCAAAATTGAAGCGTAAAATTTAATATTTAATAATATAATAACAATCACAAAGCACTCCTAAAGCTTAATTTACTGAATGAAGTTGTAATATTAGGATACATAAACATAATTAACCTTCCGTCTAATGAAAACTTATTAAATCGATTCATACATAACAACTTAACATAATTCTTAACCAATGACGCAGAATACTTTACAAGGTATGGCTACTTTATATGGTAATGTTGAACCTGACGCTAAGTGGCTATTACAGACTGTGACACCTGCAATGAACTTAATAAATGTTTTATTAGCTGAGAAGAAATACCTTATAGCCTGTAATTATACTGGCTCTTCTCACTTTTAAAACGCGAAAATAACAACAGACACACTTGTAGCTAGGCGATAGAAATAGATAAGAGTGTATAAGCTGCATATGGACTCTTAGGCTAAAGGACATAATGTCCTTACAAGCTATGACGCATAGTCACCCTACATATGCGTCACACCCGCTTCCCACGTTTTCCAAGGCCAAGCCTTATCCAGCCGTTTCAACCCTCACTAGTTCTTTACACTTGACATTGTTTACGCCTGAGTACCTACGGGTCGAAGTTGTTCTGGTAAACGTAACATTATCAATCGATTTAATGACTAATCGAGTATGTAATATATTATAATAAAGATAAGATATAAATAACGCGTATAATGGTGTTTACTTTTGAGTGTCAAAGGCATTTTTATCTATTTTAAGTTGTGATATAAGTTATAATTATAACGTATAATATGCCAAAACATACCAGCCGGAGGTGCACAGATCTAAAAAGGTACGGTAAACATGTTAAATTTAGATGAACTCTGGGACAGATTAAGTTATTATTAGGATTATCCGTCTATATTATTGGTGACGTCTTTACACCCACATATGTTTTCAATAATTATTGTTTATGTATTGATATATGTGTATGACGTTGGTTGGAAATAATTAACTGAATATTTGAATGAATTTGCAGCAAATACCGTTATTAATTGTCTAGCTAATTAATAATTAGATTTTATGACCATATTGTGTAGTGATAGCGTAAGAGATTCCACTGGCCATATCATCCAGTGGGTGTCATAACAGACGACAAAGCTAAATGAAACAGGAGATGGGCAACAAACAGCATCTTCGTTAACTCAAAAGTTGCCACTGCGCCTGCTAAGCGTGTCAATTATGACAGATGTCGTCCCTGTAAGGCAATCCGGTTGCCACTGCGCCTGCTAAGCGCGTCAACTATGACAGATGTCGTCCCTGTAAGGCAATCCGGTTGCCACTGCGCCTGCTAAGCGTGTCAACTATGACAGATGTCGTCCCTGTAAGGCAATCCGGTTGCCACTGCGCCTGCTAAGCGCGTCAACTATGACAGATGTCGTCCCTGTAAGGCAATCCGGTTGCCACTGCGCCTGCTAAGCGTGTCAATTATGACAGATGTCGTCCCTGTAAGGCAATCCGGTTGCCACTGCGCCTGCTAAGCGTGTCAACTATGACAGATGTCGTCCCTGTAAGGCAATCCGGTTGCCACTGCGCCTGCTAAGCGCATCAACTATGACAGATGTCGTCCCTGTAAGGCAATCCGGTTGCCACTGCGCCTGCTAAGCGCGTCAACTATGACAGATGTCGTCCCTGTAAGGCAATCCGGTTGCCACTGCGCCTGCTAAGCGTGTCAATTATGACAGATGTCGTCCCTGTAAGGCAATCCGGTTGCCACTGCGCCTGCTAAGCGCGTCAACTATGACAGATGTCGTCCCTGTAAGGCAATCCGGTTGCCACTGCGCCTGCTAAGCGTGCCAACTATGACAGATGTCGTCCCTGTAAGGCAATCCGGTTGCCACTGCGCCTGCTAAGCGTGTCAACTCTGACAGATGTCGTCCCTGTAAGGCAATCCGGTTGCCACTGCGCCTGCTAAGCGCATCAACTATGACAGATGTCGTCCCTGTAAGGCAATCCGGTTGCCACTGCGCCTGCTAAGCGTGTCAATTATGACAGATGTCGTCCCTGTAAGGCAATCCGCTGGCGTATTACGTATCTTGCAGAAGGCTAGCGATAGCGAAATTTGCACAATAATTGCTGATAAATCGCAAATTCGTATTATGTATCGGCGATAACCAAGCCCCAGCTAACTAGCGACAGCGCTGCCTCTGTCGAACAATCGGTAAACTAAATATGCATTCAACAGCCTATAACAAGTAAAGCTCGCGCCAGTTTTCGTATTACGTACGCCTTTTATGAGCATGACGATAGCAACCAGCGAGCGTTTTTAACTGTCATTTTGCGTTATCATTATAGGTGAATTTTTATCGATTGCTCGTCGTCGCATTTGTCTTATTATGCAAATAATATAAGAACGCGTATTATTAAGTGTGTTTATTTTTACTAAGCATCTTAGTATTAAAATAGTGTTTGCTTGGATTGTGTTAATTGTGAATAGTGTTTGTATAGATTGTCGTTTCTGATTTCGATATGGCTCGTGCAGTTCTTTTAATTGAAGCACTAGAAGTTGAGGACAGAAGATTTCAAAGCCGTACCACAGCACGATTGAGACGAAGTCTCAGAGATCAAGCTAAAGCTTTGGAACTCTCTGACTCCGAGTTTAAAGCCCACTACAGACTTACAAAAGAGCTCTTTCAGGATTTGTGCACCGAATTAAAGCCATACATGGTCGCGTCAAGAAGAAAAACAAAAATTAACGTGGAATGCAAGGTACGAAAATAATATGTTGGCACACTATGACGATAAACAAAATTTTTGAATGTTAATGGTTATTACTTATTAGATTTGATAATATTCTCATTGATTTACAGGTACTTACAGCACTCTCATTCTATGCTACAGGTTCTTATCAAAAGCCTGTGGGCATGAGTTATTTGCATGGGCTTTGTCAAGCTAGTGTATCAAATGCTGTTAAAGAAGTGACAATGGCTTTAAACACATATAATATGCTAAAAAAATACATAAATTTCCCTGGAACACGACAAGAAAGACAGGCTATTATAAATGGGTGAGAATTACTAAGCATTACAAAAGTGAATTGAATGCTGAAGGGAAAATAATTGATGCATTCTTCATTTAATATGTTTTAGATTTTCAAATAAATATGGTTTTCCTGGTTGCTTGGGGTGCATTGACAGCACTCATGTAGCTATGATCAGGCCCACAGAACATGAGGAAAGATTTTTTAATAGAAAACATTACCATTCCAGGAATGTTCAAATAGTAAGTAAAATTATTCTGAATTAACAATAGTATTTAATATTTGTAATTGGATAATCATTAAACTTACTTAAATATAACCTTTTCAGATATGTGATAGTGATTTAAATATAATTAATATAGACGCTTCTTTTGGTGGTGCTACACATGATGCTCATATTTGGAAAAACTCTCAAATATCACAGCATGTGCAAGAGCTTCATAATAGAGGAGAGGCTGTCTGGTTACTTGGTTTGTAGAAATACCATATTAATTATACAAAATACTATCATTATATAAATATTCTCATTCAATGATTAATTAAAATAAATTTACAGGTGATTCTGGATATCCATTAAGACCTTGGCTTTTAACTCCAATTGTAAATGCTGAACCTGTTAGTGCATATGAGCATTACACTAATATGCACTGTCTCACAAGGAACACTGTGGAACGGTGCATAGGAGTCTTAAAAGCACGTTGGAGATGTTTACTGGCACATAGGGTACTGCATTATAACCATCACATGGTGGCTAAAATTATAAATGCCTGTGCTGTCTTGCACAACATGTGCAACAGACATCGACTACCTATACCTCAGTTGCCAAGCTCTGACATACTGGAAGACCAGAATAATCAAATTCCCCAGCAACCACTGCAGGGTGTCGCGGTTGGTGCAGAACAACAGCTCTTAGCTAGTGGTCGGCAACAAAGAGAACTCATTGTGCAACGATTATGGTCTGCTCCTAGGCCATAATGTTTATAAAAATAAATATATTATTGAATATACAACATATATGAGCTTAAAGAATTCTTTTATATACATATTATTTTTTACTGACTTTAAACAGGAAGTTGCACAAAATTTTTAATTATGTATCAACAGCAACATTGTTTTATCGTTACCGTTATAGTCTTCTGTTGAATATAGGCCTCCCCCATAGATTGCCTCATAGGCATATTATTAGGGGTATATTTGCCGCAGTTGCCAGGCTTGGCAAGCGGCTTAGCAACCCTTTTTTTAATTTGTGCTCATTATAAGGAAGATCTAATTTGTTTCCCATTATAATATTGCTTATAATACTGTTTATTTTTTAACTAGTTGTTCTAATATACAATTTATTTATCTTTAAAATGTGTAGGCATTGTTTGTTTGTTGTGATTTTTTTTTTAATATGAAATGGCTTTACTTTTTTAATGTCTATGGATATATTTTGTTTAATTCCTAATAATTTTGCATTTATATATTATACTTATTATAAACATTTAACATCCCTCACTCGGAGGATGATTTTGTATTGAATTTGGATTAATTTATGTTTAATTTCAGTAAGCACCAGGTGATCAGTTGCTATAACAGGGAAAAACATTTAAGTGGTGGCTCCTTAATATTAGCCAACAAATTGTTATTATCTAAAGAATGTAAGGATATTGTGAGCCTCTGTTGAGGGAACAGTAGAAATAGCATGTGTTGATTTCGAGCACATCTTTGCTGTTAGTGTTTACAGACCCTCACATTCTTTTGAAAAAAATATGGAGGAAGTTTCACTCAAGTAATAAACAGAATAAATGTTATCATATGTGGAGACTTTAATATCAGTCTCCTTGAAACTTCCTCCATGAGTATTAAGCACATTCAACCTTGTAAATTTGTTCTTAGAGCCAAAACATATGGCAAGACCTAGTGCAACTTGTACGTAACATTTTTACTGACCCTGTTGTGCCCTTACATAAACTAATTAACAACATGTATTGCAGGGCCTATTGTAACTTGTATAATAACATTTTTACTGATGATGAGCCCTTCCTAAATAGTCAAATTTTAAATTCTGATCATTTGAAAAAATTGTTGTAGATCAAATGTTAAACTTTTTTAATGTAAATAAATTACTCCATAACATCAATTTGGTTTTACAAGGGGTCACTATAACTGACACTGGTGTAGAGCTAATTAAACTATTTTTGTACAAGGGAGAATTCAGAGGATGCTTTGGGTATATTTTGTGACCTTTCCAAGGGTTTCGAATGTGTTCACCATGAGACATCAATCAGGAAGATACATCATTGTGGTGTAAAAACTTAGTGCTTAAACTTATTACATCATATGTAAATAATATGTAGAATGCAAACGGTTGTTATTAGTGTTTCTCACGGCTAAATTCTTAGCTAATTTCTGTCCTTTATATTAATGTGTTAAGCCATTAATATAAACTTATATCTTCTAGTATTTATTATAATAAGTACTTGGTAACGCATACACATGATATAGTTGTATTTGCCTGCTATTTGATTTTGAGACCGAAAATACTATTATTAAAATATGACGAAATGAATAATTCTATAATAAAAACAGTGCACTGGTTTAACGTCAATAATTTGCTTTTAAACAGTAATAAAACGAAATATGTTAAATTTACAACAGGTGAATACCAATGTGCTTTCAGGGGATGAGCAGTCTTGTTGAATTCGCTGTTTTTCTGTGAATTAGAGTTAACGCGAAGCTTCAGTGGGGCCCTCATATGTCTAAACTAGCTAGCAACAAAAAGTTTAGGGGCCTTATATTTGTTGAAACAGATAGATTAGTTTATTATATTTATTTCCATAGTATAATGTCATATGGAATCTTGCTATGGGGTAATGCGACTGGCATTGAAATTATCTTTGTTTTGCAGGGAAAAAGAGCCATACGAATAATTTATAACCTAATTCCGAAGAAATTCCTTAGAGAAAATTTAAAAAAATCAACATATTAACTTTAGCCTCAATATATTTACAAAAATTTTATGTATGCACACAGAAACAAGCACAAGTCACTTTTACCAGTTACTCAACTCGCAAAGAGTCGGTAATTCCTTTATGGGGAAATGTATACGCTTTTACAACGAAGTCTCAGATAATATGCAGGCCTATCAAAAATAGTACAAAATATTCATTAAGCAAAAATTGATTAGTAAGGGTTATTATACTACTAAAGAATACATAATTGATAACAATCCCTGGGTATGAGGCTGGTGATCGCTACCACGCTATTTCTAATGTCATCATATCAATTGTAAAATTATACATTGTAAATTGATTTTATTTAAAATAATAAGACCCACTAGGTTTCTTGTTGGTCCTTCCCAGGATAGAGGTTTTTACCGAACCTCAAGTAAAAATGACTTACAATAAGTATTCTATGTTGAATAAATATGATTCTCTTCTATTCTAGGGTCTTTTAAATGTGTGAGCAAAATTTGTTTATTTTTCTTTTGTATTTTATTCCTATTTGTATTTCATAACTTCTATTTTTGTTTTAATATTATAATGCAATGTGAAAAACGAATAACTGGCTCCTGAAAACATGTACATTTCCAGTTCAAGGGTAAAAATCAAAAGAAATAAGATTGTTGTTTATCACTATATAATTAATACTAATGTTGTTTAAAGTGAAATTTTGTGTATAATAAAACAAATGTATGCTTAAACAATGAATTTAATTTAAAACTAAAACAAAACAATTATTCTTAAAGTACTACTATATAACCTACTATTTAAAATTATCATAAAGCCCTAATCTAATTGTTCCTTGAAGAAAGGGGTGCATTTCAACACTTACTTACACTTACACAATAATACTTAGACCTACTATGAGACTACCAGAACTCTAACCCTGTTAGTGTTAGAGTTCTGGTAGTCTCCGTGCTTCAAGCAAGGCACGTATGTCTTCGCTTTGCCTTTGCACAAGCTCTATGAGTGTGCTAGTTATGTGAGCTTGTGTGCGGGCTACTTCAGCTTGCATGCGAGATGCCTCTGCCATCACCATAGCAGCATCGGCAAGCTTTTTTTCAGACTCAACCCTCTTCTCCTCCAATTTCATGACCCATTCCGGATCGACTTTAGACTGATCTGAAACATAAAAGAATATAAATATTGTTTCTATATATAAAAAGTTATAAAAACTCAAGTTAACTCACGAGTAGTAGAGGATCTGCTACGTCTAAAGCGATGGGGTTCAGTAGGCCTTCGAATCACAGGACTCTCTACTCCTGCATAAAAATATTTTAATTTAAGAAAATTGCCTTGTATTTGTATTATATTGTAAATATAGCTATGAAAAAATATTTATTTTTATACTATTAATACTAAACATATACCATTCATCAGCATCATCAATACAGCCCTTCACTAGTCCACTGCTGAACATAGGCCTCCCGTAAAGAATGCGACAAAGCACGGTCCTGAACCACCTACATCCATCAACTTCCTCCATATCTTACCAGGTCGTCACTCCATTTAGTGGGGGTATGCTCTACACTTCACCTACCGTTACGAGGCTGCCACTCAAGAACCTTCTTTTCCCATTGGTTGTCGGTTCTTCAAGCTATATGGCCGGCCCATTGCCACTTCAGCTTACTTATCCGTTGAGCTATGTCAGTCACTCTGGTTCTACTACATATACCATTAATACTAAACAAATATAGGTAACCAGGACTACAAGCCCTGTAATCAATAATTTAAATAATTATTGTAATTGGTAAGGCACATGAATAGTACTCTAATTGTTTATATATATTTAAAATATTGTTTATTGTACTTTCCGCTTGATCCTAAATAAATAAATACCAGTTTGTGGTGGTTCCGAAACATTTTCAGTCTGTGGTAACTCGGCCATATGCTGTGTCTGTGTATTGGTGATGTTAACTGGTGTGGAATCAGACACAGCTATTTCCGAAGTGTCTGTAAATATAAAACAGCAGTTGTATTACTCAAGATTATTTATATTCCTTGTCAGAGGTTTTAAAGTAATATAAGAGGTTTCCAAACAATTACTGCTCCTTGAAGTAGAGTGGTAAAATAGTACTCAAATAAATATTATGTATATGTAAATATCAAGTAAATAGCTTTCTTTAAAATATAAATAATAGCAAGGGAGGTTTCTTGTTTCATAAAATATAAAAAAAACTTACAAATCGTACATGTTTGCCCACTTGTTGAAGGTGACTTTACTGTATCAGGAAATATAACTATTTCAGTGTCAGTGTCAGGTTCAGTGGTCTAAAAAATAACATATCATAAAGGTTTCTTTTATTATATTTATAGGTTATAAGACATCCTATAAATTCTCACACATATTCTTTTTACATTTTAATCAAAAAGACACAACAATTTAAACACTACATTTAACTATAATTATATATTTTACAAAAAAGTCAACTAAAAACATGATTTATCTACTGAACTCAATGCACAATAACTTTAAAAGATTTTGTGGCAAAATTTTCCAAGCTATGTCTTTTCTATAGTAATTGATGATTACACTTTAGTTTTTAAATAAAAAATAATTATCAATAAAATTATCTATGAACGACCATTATGTGTCAATTCATTTGTACTTACATTCTTTGTACTAAAACTAAATGGTATGTTCAAGAGTAATGGGGTACCATAGTAAAATATTTGTTATTTTAAAATAATGTGTATAGGTATAATTAAATATTTAATTACTTACAAATATAGGAACTCTGTGCTCACTATCACCAAATACAGCTTGCTTTCCAATGATGGACAAGATTTTTTTGTCAGTCTCTGATAAATCATCTTGGCTACTTGGACCACCACCAGTTGCCAAATAATCTTGCCTCCGTTTAGCAAGTCTACACTTACTTTTGTGCTTGAGATCAGTCCAATACTATGAATGCAAAAGTATTTACTTTAATAACACATATTATGGTATTGTTAATAGCATGCAATTCTACAATTTAGTTCAAAATTGTTTGGACCAAGCAATACTACATAACATGTTAAAGCTTACCTTTTTCCACCGTTCACCGGATTTCGATGACCCAGATCCATGTGCATTCAGCTTTGTAGCAAGAACATTCCACAGTTTATCCACAGTTTCTTTGGATCTTGCTCCAAGCCCAACTCCTTTGGCTAAAGTGGGATGTTGGCCAAGAAACTCCAATAGGTCTTCGAGCTGATCGTTTGACACTCTATTTGCCATTTTAGATCTAAAAAGACGATATTAATTACATTTAAATCAATATAAATGAGATGTAGCAATTAATTACTTCATCATTGCTATAACTTACTTTTTGGTTTTAAAACACAAGATAGAACACGGAGAGAGAGACTCGTACTGTTTAAAATCAAATAACAATAGCCCCATGTTACACAAAAGCAGGCTACTTAAAACAGACGCCACATTATTTTTTTTCCATTTTTCTTTGTACACATTTGGTAACCATCTGTTTGAGTGTTTGACATTAAAAACTTCCAGTTGTCACTACCAACTACCAAATTGCGATTGGCGCTAGTGTAGTCGCGATAAGTGCATAGCGAGCGATTAGCAAGCGATCCCATACGTAATACGAAACTTTTTAAAACAAAACGATTGATCGCACATTTACTGCGCGATTATTGCTAATTGCTAATTTTTACATAATAGCCGTACCGGTTGCCACTGCGCCTGCTAAGCGTGTCAACTATGACAGATGTCGTCCCTGTAAGGCAATCCGGTTGCCACTGCGCCTGCTAAGCGCGTCAACTATGACAGATGTCGTCCCTGTAAGGCAATCCGGTTGCCACTGCGCCTGCTAAGCGCGTCAACTATGACAGATGTCGTCCCTGTAAGGCAATCCGGTTGCCACTGCGCCTGCTAAGCGTGTCAACTATGACAGATGTCGTCCCTGTAAGGCAATCCGGTTGCCACTGCGCCTGCTAAGCGCGTCAACTATGACAGATGTCGTCCCTGTAAGGCAATCCGGTTGCCACTGCGCCTGCTAAGCGCGTCAACTATGACAGATGTCGTCCCTGTAAGGCAATCTATGGGGGAGACCTTTTATTAGCAGTGGACTTTGATAGGCTGTAGCGAATATTATTATTTTTGACGAATTCAATGCCTTACCATTTATTTGCATATATTTTAATGTATTAAATAAAAATTTTCTGTAACTATTTTATCGCGTGTGACAGTTAATTTTATTCAATGTTGTGTATGTTCGTATTTGAGTTAATAAAAGAAATCATTACATGTTCAACATATAATATTTTTGTTTGTCTGTCGTTTCGAGTGGAATTTAGTAATTGATTTTAAACTAACTTCCTGATGAGCTGGATACTTGAAATATTTAATGTAGCTTAAATTCGGATGACAATGCAAGAATATGATAAAAAATACGAAATAAAATTATTTAAAATAAAATCACTTGTTTATTTTTAACTCTGGTGCGTCAATTTCACCTGCCATTTCGCCTGCCCGTCACCCACGTCGAAACCAGTTGTGGAACTTTTACGGTGTGATGAAGTTATATTGTTGTAAAAATAATCTAATTATTTTGATAATTATTATAGCATAGTTAACAAATTTCTTACATTACATTTTATTGAAATTATCGTTAATCACAGTTACACACACACACACGCACACAACCAAAATTACTGACTTATTTTACTATGTAAGTACAATTTTATTTTCTTGATAAAAAACTTTCCTAAAACTGTAATTATGTCATTTTCCATTATGGCCTGTTTTTATGTTTATCAGGTTACTCAACCTGTTTTTTACTGCTTCTTTATAAAATATTCCGCTTTATTATTTATAATCCTTTATGGTTCTGCAAACTATACCTCTGTATAGTTTAAACAAAGGATTACACATTTAAACACTGATAGAGCGCAGTAAATTTTAATTATGCTTATCGCTTCACAGGGAGTCACCTTTTAAAACAAAAAAGAGTGGAATTTTTTCGATTAAGCGCATTAATCCACATTCGTAAGTGACAAGATATGTCACGAAGCAGACCTTGAAGTCGGAACTGATTTATTAAAAGAGCAGCGTTACGCACTGCGGCAATCGAACGTAGTTAACATTGAGACTGGACGGTGCCTCTTTGTTTTCCTTTATATGTGCATCTTCAATGGGATATTAATATTAGGCTGTTGTGGTTATAACGCTTCATTCATTACAAAACCGTATATAACACATAATCTAATCTACATTAATATGTAACTAGTCAGAACTTTAAATGCTTTATCAAGATTGCAAATCAAACAATCTGCTGTGGATTGTGATAAAAAACCTATTTCTTTCATATAATATACTTCCTTAGCTCGCTGATACACTGATACATATACATATATTAACAGTGTACCTATCGTATTAAAATACAGAAAAAGAAAAATTCGATTGAATAGTTTATAATTTACCAAAGGATGTATTTGTCAAGGCTCTGTGGTGTTAGTGTGGTAGAATCCATCAGCCTATTTCGTGCCGTGTCACTGACACCATGAAGAAACTATTTACTATGGGTAACGTCAGATAAGTCGTACGAGGGCGACACTGAAAGTTTTTAGAACTGGCCACTTGTAAACGATATAACAAAAAAATTGTACTAGACTTGTGATGAGGAGAGTATTGCCCGTATCCAGCTGTAGACTTAAAAACCTTTGTGTCATTGAACGTCTCATATCATTTTATTGACTTTTTATTTAATTAAATTAATTATTGGAAAAACTTCAACAATCTTTACTAATCTAGAAATATGAATCATCTGTTAAATGCTTTGATCAATGTTTTAAATTTAGATTGGCAACCGTGGTAATTCATTCAAATTGATAGGAAAAATTATCCAAAAATATTTTCTTGTTTAAATTTATCCTCCATGGACAAGGTCGCCAGCTCATTGCTCTTTTAACGTCTTGGTTTATTTTTTATATCAACTATATTTATAGCACTCTAGCCTTTTCTAGTGGCTTTGCTCTTGGACTATATCTTGACTGATAGATATGTGCTACATGCCATAATTTAAACTGTTAGTGTGCCTGTCTTTTTGTTATATTCTATACGTTTGTACTTTGTATACTTTAACTCTATACTTTTTTACAGTGTTAATATAAAATTTATTAATAACTCGGCAACAGGGCTATACTGGATCCAGATTTTGTGATTTTCTTTTTTGTCATTAAACCAACATATTATATCATGAACTACCACATATATATATGCGACATACCATTGACTGACTGCATCGTCACGAGATCTTTAAAACTATAAACCCAATTGATTTGAAATTTAGTTTACTTACTCATTTCGCAATGTAGTCGTTCACTAAGAACGGATTTTACGATAGTCCCATCAAAAAAAAATTTATAGGTTGTGCAATAAAATATTATCGTGCGACCGGCGAAGCGAGTGGGTATCAGCTAGTATTTTATAAAATCAATTACTGTCCGTTATTAAACTGTAACTGAAACGCCGTGTAGTGGCGGTCAAGAATATCCACTACCCCATATCCTCCCGTGGGTGTCGTAAAAGGCGACAAAGGGAAACAGGCAGAAGATGGGCAGCATCTTCCTGATAATAGCCAAAATTATAATAAAAAAACTGCCGTTGCCAACCCGCTCGCCAAGCGTGGCAACTATGGCAAATACCCCCCAATGACTAAAGCAACAAACAGACAGCCGCCAGTCCCCGGCGGCCCCGCTATTCCTGGCTACGGTGGCGACCATGGTAATGGCGGGGCAGGGCACCTTAGACGACTCGACCTGGCAACGTACAACGCACGCACCCTGAGGACTGACGAGAAGATCGTGGAGCTGGAAGAAAAGATAGACAAATTGCGTTGACATATTATAGGATTATCCGAAGTCCGAAGAGAGGGGGGGGATACGGTAATCCTCGAATCCGGCAACTTGCTCTATCACCGGGAGGGCGACCATCTGTCCCAAGGAGGTGTCGGATTTATCGTCCACAAGTCTCTCGTTAACAACGTTGTAAAGATCGGGAGTGTGTCGACGAGGGTTGCGTACCTTATACTCAGAATCACCAAACGGTATTCGCTGAAGGTCATACAGGTTTACGCACCAACCTCGGCACACCCCGATCAGGAGGTGGAGGAAATGTATGAGGATATCTCTAGAGCCATGTATTTCTCCAAAACCCAATATACGGTGTTAATGGGAGACTTCAATGCCAAACTAGGCACAAGAGAGAACGGTGAGCTGAAAGTAGGGAAATTTGGAATAGGGCAACGGAACCCAAGGGGCCAGCAGCTGGCCGACTTCATGGAGAAAGAGGGACTCTTTATGATGAACTCTTTCTTCCAGAAGCGGCCCCACAGGAAGTGGACCTGGTCGAGCCCCGACGGTTCGACAAAAAATGAGATTGACTTCATTATGACGACCAGACGACAACTGTTCAGTGATGTCTCCGTGATCGCGAGGGTGAAAACTGGTAGCGATCACCGAATGGTTAGAGGCACACTGAACCTAAACGTTAAGTTGGAGAGGTCTCGTCTAATGAAGTCAACGCTCCGTCCCCCTCGTGCTCTATTCCAAAGTCCCGAAACCTTTCAGCTCGAGTTACAAAACCGTTTTCAGTGCCTAGAAGACTGCAATGAAGTGGACGATACAAATGACAAGCTCGTGGAAACTGTCCATGCGGTCGGAGCTAAGTTCTGCAAGACCCGCCGCAGAAGAACACAAAAACTCTCCGATCACACTCTTAATCTCATGGCTGTTAGACGGGAGATGAAGCTACATTCTTCAAGAGACTTGACAGCATACAGGCATCTGAACAGACAGATCTCCAAATGCATGCGGCGGGACTTACGCAACATCAATACAGCTCGTATTGAAGAAGCGATAGAGCGGAACCAAGGCTCCAAAGTCTTTGCCAGAGATCTGTCTGCCAGAAAGAGCCAACTGTCAAAGCTGAAGACGGAATGTGGCAGCATCGTTTCCGGGACACCTGAGATTTTGAGTGAGATTGAGAGGTTCTATGGGCAGCTGTATACGTCATCGTTGGAGCCACACGCAAGTGTGAGTAACGATCCAAGAGCGAGTCTCATCCGACACTATTCCGAAGATATCCCGGACGTCAGTCTGAGCGAGATTAGAATGGCTCTCCAGCACCTTAAAAACGGTAAGGCCCCAGGCGAGGATGGAATTACAGCGGAGCTTCTGAAAGCGGGTGGAAGACCGGTACTTGAAGTCCTTCAGAAG